TGGGCGAGGAGAGTTGATGTTCTATGTTAGTCTATCTGTTTCCACTCTGGTACTCGTCTCTTGTCCCTGTTACTGACTGAAAAACAGAGATGATATTTAGAGACTTACTTATGCTGTCTCATTATCCTGAGAGCTGTCCTCTGAATGATTACTAATGTGGATGTTAATAAACTGAGCTTGACATGTAACCCCTGAGATGACTGCTAATTATGAGTTCCTTCTTGATACAGGATGATATCTCCTTGGACGCCAGGCAGTGAATCTGCGGTCCACAAAACCACCCAGGCAGTGAATCGGCGGTCCACAAAACCACCCAGGCAGTGAATCGGCGGTCCACAAAACCACCCAGGCAGTGAATCGGCGGTCCACAAAACCACCCAGGCGGTGAATCGGCGGTCCACAAAACCACCAAGGCAGTGAATCGGCGGTCCACAAAACCACCCAGGCAGTGAATCGGCGGTCCACAAAACCACCCAGGCGGTGAATCAGCGGTCCACAAAACCACCCAGGCAGTGAATCGGCGGTCCACAAAACCACCAACAAGGAAGTCACCTATGTCCATGCCAGTGGTGGGCATCCAATTGTAAACCAAGCTTTTGTCATCTATTAAGGAAATCCTCCAGTTGGTCTACAGACAACATTATGGGTGTTGTACCTTCACCATCATTTATCCGGAAGCTTGTTTGTGCCTCAAGTAATTGACTTAGTACCCGAGAACCTCTCCAGGAGCTTGGGTGTATCTCCAGTGTTCGCGTGTCTAGTGTAGGACTGTCTTCAACGTAACAACAGAGTGACTGAACATCCAGCAAGTTCAAGAAATCAGGTATTCAGATAAGTGTGGTCAATAATTGGTTTACTGCCGGGCTTCACTGTTAATCGTCCACATGATCATAATGATGATCTAGGCGGACTTTGGGAATCTCTTTCACATTCAGTCAGATCTATTTTGAAGTTTTGGTCCTTCCTATCACTCTGGGTTCTTGAAGTTCTTTGCTGATTCTTATATAATGTATGTGTTACATTTATTATATGTTTGGAAAGTTTATTTTTGACTTGAGTGTCCATCATTCACTGTTCAAACTGTCTAGCTGTTATGTTTGTGTGATTAGTAAGTGTAATCCGTGTTAACATGGCTGTGATAGTATACTATCATATCCTGGGGGCTATCTTTTTATAGTAGTGGGGGTGTCCAGCCAAGTTGCGCCTAGATTGTTAGATATTCTGTAGTGCCAGAACTTGAGTTGGCCTACTCCTGAAATAAGTATATTGGCCACGGGATATCCATTAGACCAATACGAGTCGACGCCTCAACATTATTTTATTTCAGAGTGCTGTTGGTTCTTAAGGAGAAATCCTTCAATCAGGCGCGCCACATGAGCGGTATGTGACAGCTTACCAAAAACCCAAGCAATATATAAGGGAGAAAAAAATGATAAATAGTACATATTTTATAGTTAATTTTATAGTTACGAAATGAAACAATTACCCACTTTTATATAAGGATATATATGTTAAAAAATAAAAAACTAGATTCCAAAATCTTAACCCAAGGTGTCGTATTAAAACTCAGTTCTTGGTGGAAAGCCTAAGTACTTGCAGGCCCGATGGACGGGAACGCTGTCAGCGCTGTTGTTGTTTCTCGACCACTTAGATTTACCAATTCCGACAGAAAATTCCGTTGATTCTAAATAATAACAGACGCGTACAAAAATGCTACAAGAGTTGTAGATGTTTAAAAAGTAGCTCACTTAACATTATTAATTTACTAAGTATCTGAAGTTAATTACTAAAGAATCATCTTAGAAAATGCGCAATGATGGCCAAAATTAATTATTCGGATTTGGGGGTGATCAGGAAAAAAATATCCAACAGAGAATACGAAGGGCTCTAACTAATGACAGATGCATGAACAAATGATACAATGGTTGTGGTTTTTTTTTTTAAATGATTAAAATAATAATGATTAGTTAATTTAATAATTATTTTAAGTTAATTATAAAGCGGGAAAAACGATCTCCTAGTGCAAACATATTGGATTTAAAGCGAAAACAGTGATGCCACTAAACAATTTTTTTAAACATCTGTGCTATTGCCAATCTTTGTGAAATTTCTCACACTTGTTTAAAAATTAACGCAGAATTAAAAAATACAACACACATTACGGTAATCGGGCTAATTAAAAAGATATTTACGAAATTACCGTTATTGGACTTACCAACTCTCCCCAATGCTAAAACACCCAAGCATCACTATGGCACTAAAACGACAACTGATAAATTGCATGTTTATACCAACCCTCTGCTACCAATGCCAAACCTGGTCCCTAACAAGAGCACAGGAGAAAAAGATCACGACGTGCGAAATGAGATGCTTACGTAAGGCTGCCAATGTCACAAGGAGAGACAGAGTTCGAAACGAGAACATTAGAGCAATTGTAGGAACCACACCATGCCTGCAATACATAAAGAAGCAACAAATAGAGTGGTTTGGCCACTTGATGCGAATGCAAACCGACCAACTGCTTCTACGAGCATACAACGAACAGCACTACTGCCCTAGAGCAAGAGGCAGACCGAGAGTACGATGCATAGACAATATATCAGAGATCCTGAGGCAACACGGACTAACAACAACACTTGCAACACACCTGGCCCAGGATAGAAAACTGCGACTCCCCACTACGCTGTGAGGCAATTGTGGACAAGACAAGACAAGACCGTTATTGGATTTAAAGCGAAAACAGTGATGCCACTAAACAATTTTTTTAAACATCTGCGCATTTGCCAATGTTTGTGAAATTTCACACACTTATATAAAAATTAACGCAGAATTTAAAAATACAACACACATTGAGGTAATCTGGCTAATTAAAAAGATATTTACGAAATTACTTACCGTTATTGGATTTAAAGGGGAAAAGTGATGCCACTAAACAATTTTTTTAAACATCTACGCATTTGCCAATGTTTGTGAAATTTCACACACTTATATAAAATTAATGCAGAATTCCGAAGCAAGAATCCAACAAGCCAACAATGTCGCATACCAGCTTGCCCCAATTTTAAAACACCCTGCTGTCCCAGCTGAGATAAAAAGACAAATTATAAATACAATCTTTATACCGACATTAGGTTATCAATGTCAGACTTGGACATTAACAAAAGAACACGAGAGAAGACTAACCACCTGTGAAATGAGATGTTTGAGAATGGCTGCGAATAAAACCAGAAGAGATAGAGTGAGAAACGATTTGATTACAAGAACTATTGGAACCATACCCATCGTTAAATTTATTGAGAAGCAAAGAATGAAACGGTTTGGTCACCTAATAAGAATGGAACCAACGATGCCAGCATCAAGAGCATACAACATGAAAATCGAAACACCAAGAGGCAGGGGAAGACCAAGAAGAAGATGGATTGAAGGAGTCACGGACAACTTGAGACTTCATAACATCACTGCATATGAAGCGACTGAGCGCGCCCTGGCTCGGTTGCCGATCATCTGATAGACTGCGACGCCTAGCGGCACAAGCAGATTTTGACAAAAGAAGAAGAATGCAGAATTCAAAAATACAACACACTTTGCGGTAATCTGGCTAATTAAGAAGATATTTACGAAATTACTAACCATTAATTCACTGCGTGCTGCCAAAAAAATTGATTTATTTTATACGCGTCAAAACTATCTCAGGTCAAAGCCTGGCATCTCTCCAATAACTCCTAATAACTGTTCCGATTTTATCTTTCACGTAAAGAGCACAGAAAAATAATTTCTCAATAACAGATAATTGGTTTTGCATTTCTGGGTCGCAATCGTGTCTATAGTTACTGACGAAAATGTATAGCAAAATAAATTAAACAAAACGATCCATTGCTATACCTACTATTATGGTTCGGATCACAGCCTATGATAAGTCTTGCTGGTTGAAACTTAAAAATTTAAAAGGCTTGTGTGTGTCTGTGTGTTTCTGTGCCCAAATTGTAATAAGACTTGAAGGCACTCACACAAACCAGAAGAAGCCAGAGACTCACAGAAGAGAAAAGATAATAAAAGGATATCCTTGTGTGGGTTCCGGGGCCCCATTATGGGGAAAACAAGAATAGACCCACTGCCTACCCAAAAGCATGTCGTAAGAGTCGACTAATTGGGAGCTTCCTTCAAAGTCGGAGTGCATCTGCCTGAGAGGAATGAACCAACAGTCTGTATACAAATTAGTCCGATCTGTCAAATGGATGCACACGCAACACTCAGGTTCTGGAATAGGACTGCAGTCCAGAAATGGACGAACAACCAGAACTTTTCGCCGGAGTTTACCATAAGTGAATGCGAAGAAAAATAAAAATAAATGGATAAATGATTTTAAGATAAGATACATTTTTACTGGTAAATACACACTGTATAGGCTTATATTTTATCCCCACCCCCCTCCCAACCAAGTTTCAAACTGTTTATGGTGCACTTCTATTTAGCATAGCAGGGTACTAAGGTAGTACTTGGTGTAGTCATTAAAGGTGCCATAAAAGAGACTTTTCAGGAAGTTAAATGGGGTTTCTGGTATTTGTCCTCTTGGACTGACATCCAGGATGTGGCTCTTTGGGTCACAGAAGGGAGGGGGGTCAAACCTTTAGCTGCTGGCCTAGAAAGAAAAACAGTCACCCACATGCAATTAAAAGAACGAAATAAATCCCACCTTCATATTTTCAAGATACCCAGTTGGATTCCAGCTGTGGGTGATGCGGCAGCAGACAGCTTTGCACTGATTTAGGCACAGGTATCGTGAGCTGACTGTTCGGAGTGCAATGATAAACTAGTGAACATACAACTGTCAGGTTAAACCAAACAGCCAACAACTGCAGGTTCTGCAATCTCCAAACAATACTAAACTAACTTCATATATCCCACTGACAAACTATACAATGTTACACATAATAGGGATTTCACATTTCCTTTTTTTTTTTTTCCTAACTCAAAAAAGAATGGCCAGTTTTTAAATATGTTCAAATTCCCCATTCTTCCTTCAGCTTCTCAATGGTTGTGAAAGTAGGTGGTACAGACTCTTCGGCATCAGAAGTCTTGCTTCGTAAACCAAATCTGGCTTTTGAAACCTGGAAGTCACCACAAAATCTGGGATCAACAGGGTGACTTGCTGGTTGCCATCTGCAAATACAAAACATGAAGCCTTCAGTGGATTTATAATAATGTTCACCTTTCTTTTATCAGACAACTTATAATTTAGAAATAAAATAAATAAAACTGTCATCAAATTTAACTTGGTCTTTTTTTTAAAAAACATATTATGTTATTCAAAACAATGTTTTCCCGTAATGAATTTAAATAATGCGAATACAAACAATACATTGCACAATTTATTGCCAGGCATATTCCGCTGTATCTCATCAGAAGGGCTACTACAGAGTTACATCAACATAAAATAAAGCACAAAACTGAAAAAATACAATTGAAATGCGAACAGTTTCTTCCGATACATATTATGTTATCACAATCCAAGGCACGTCTACTGGTGTTCCCATGAGGAGCTGGTTATAATGTCTTCCCACTCAGCCTGGGCTTCACTGTGCTTTACTCCCATGTCACGCAACCATGTTAGCATCAGAGATCCATTGTCATCCATTAACCTAGTCTGTACAGATTTGATAATATCTGCTCTGTCTATGCTTCTTTCCCAGTGCACTGCTTGCCAGTTGGACCGCTTGTTTGATACCTTTCACCTCTATTCTTAAAATTATGATGAGATTCCATAAAAAAGCTTTTTTTTTGTCTAGTTCAGAACCTGTGAGAGTGGACACATAAATATATCAAGTTATGCTGCAAAGTTCTAAGAAATATGGTATTTTGCTGAGTTTCATCCCAAATTTCCAGTTTTCTACAGCCCACAGAGGAGATAATAAGTCAATAAAAATGATGATACTCTGCAGCTTATGAAATTACATACAAAGACAGCAAATCAAATGGTTTGCCCACTTGAAGAGAATGTTTTCTGATGCTATATCATACAAGGCATATTCGAAAAGACGAGAGGGACGTAGAGCAAGAAGTAGGCCAAGAACAAGATGAGAAGAAAACATTAGAGAAACTCTACAGCGCTACAATGTTGAAGCAGCCAGAAGAGCACAAATCAGGACCTTATATCTCCCTCAAAACCCGAAGCCGTAAAAGACATAAAGAAGAAGAAGAAGACCCAGATGTGAACAATAAGAAAGTATTGACAAACCTTGTATCACAACTTATCCTTGCATAATTTGTTGTATTAGTTGTAGACATGTGCACGGTTCTGGGGAGAAAACAGAATTCAATCAATTACATGCCATCTAATAGAACAATGAGGATCGGCTGCAATAGATCTATCTGTCTCTTGTCTTAGTAGTCCACCCTCTCAGACTGCTGTGCATCCACCACTTGATATTGTCCTTTCACTTGTATCACTGTCTACCTCTTGTTCTCTTGCTTCCAATGTTTCCCTCAAGTATGGCTTTTTTAAAAAGTGTTTTGTCTTTTGATGTGACTGAAATATTTAAATTGTCTTCTTCTTTTCCTTTCTAAAACAGAATTACAATGTAACACACAGCTTGGAACTGATTTTTTTTAAAAGGGTGCGTCTGCTGTGTGGCTAAGAGGTTAAAGAATGTTTTTAACAATTTCATGATTCTTGAGTACAAGAGTTCTATTTCTATCAAGAATGGCTGTTTTCTTTCAAAACCACTCTCACAGTTTTCAGACCATAGTATGAGAGTCACACTGTGGAAGAGGTTGGGGCCTCACTCCATAATATTCTTAAAACAGCAGTGGGTGCACTGTAGCCAAGCTTTCTGTTCAGACAGCAAATACTTTTAATTTAAATGAATGTTATGTAATCAGAATCAGCGTCATTGCACACTGGGCATTCCCATGCATGCTTGGTCCTTCAATGCAGCAGCCACTCTATTGATTGTTCCCATAGGAAGTTGGTCAAAGTATCTTCTGTCTTTACCTTGAAAACAGCATAGATGTGCTTCACCAAGCTCAACTGCCAGGTCATGCATCAGAGATTCAACATTATTCACTAACCTAGTTCGTACAGCGTTGATGATATCAGCTCTGTCCGTGCTTCTTGCTGTTTCTATTGATGCATTTCTTGCCAGCTGGACAGCTCTTTCATTAAGATTTACTCCTACATGCCCAGGCGCGTAGATCCAGACGATGGAGGTTACCATGAATTCCAAATGCTTTCTACCCATTCGGATGGTAGATTACCTGCTGCGATTTTCTGAAGCCCGTTCATGGAGTCTGAAATGATTATGTGTGGCTGCTTGTTCTGCTACCCAAGCCTGCTCTGAAAGCAGCGATTATCTCCATGGTCATGGCTGGCCTAGTTGTCTGGTACGCAGCACCACTATCCCTTTATTTTTGTTTCTGTATCTTTTGTGCTGCGTTTGCCCATGCAGCAGTTTGCCCTTGACACATCTGTATAAATGACAATGATGTCTGCACATAAATGATGCTCAATCACTGCCCTAATCTCAGCGTTTTATTTGTATCATTCTTCTCATGTCCAGGTGACTTTAATTGCTATGAAGTTTGTTCTATGGCTTTTATGTCTGGTTTTGTACCAGTTCACAGCACATTCCGTGGCTAAGGCGTTGCGAGTCTGACTCGTAAGCCAGCATACCGCGATTGAAACCCACTGCAGGCTGCGTGGATTTTTGTGGTGGTATGGGACGTCGCAGGTCGACCCAGCCTAAAATGGGTACCAGGATGGGCTGTCCTGGGAAAGTAAAGACAGCCGGCGTAATGCTGACCACATTACCCACAGAGTGCTGATGGTCTGTAAAAATATGGGACGCTCTGCCCATATGCCCGATGCGCCGAAAGGCATGAAAAGGGAACTTTACTTTTTTTACACAGCACATTTAAACACATCAAGTTTTATATTAACAGTAAACTCTAGCTATGAGCTGGGAAAGCAATAGTTTAAAACAGTCACTTCATGTCATAATGTTATAACCTAGTATACGTTAAATTCCACTATTATATACATTTTTATGGATCAAATAATAGAAAAAAAAAAGAAATGTAACAGTCATTGAATCAGAAAATACAGCTTTAAGACCAAACTATGAATCTTCAATTCTAACGTTATTTTAATTCTAACATATGTTAGCGAAAGTTGGAGAACAACCAAAGATATGGAACAGAAATCAAATCAACAGAAATGCATTTTAAAATAACTGTCTGAGAAAAAGCATGAACATAAAAATAAATGAACTAAAAAAGAGTGGGGAGAAATTCAAAAAGAGATGTCTGGACAAATACCTGTATTGAATGCAATAAGACAAAGAAGGTTGATAGATAATGGGCCCACTTTGAGACAAAATGAGTAAAGAGTTACAAGCCAGGCATTGAAATGGGAAACAAACTGTCTGAGAAAGAAAGAAAAAAGAGGATGTCCAAAGAAAACATTAAGAAGAACATTATTATGAGAGTCAACAAATTCTGGAATGAACTTTATTTTAGAAATCATGAAAATTGCGTGCAGTAGAGTGGCATGGAAGAATCGAACGCAAGCCCTATGTGATGTCTAAAGGCACATAAAGGATGATGGTGACGATGATAACTTTCATACAAGATTCCTTCTTTGTTGCTCTTATCAGAGTAAGCTAGGTATTTTATCTCAGCACCCAAGATATTAGGAGGAATGTGTGATATCAATAGAAACTAATGGTTTTTGTAAAGCAGTCCAACCCTATGTCAAGATTCAAACCATATATCGTCTGAGCCTCATTTGATTACCATGACCTCTTAAACGAGCTCACTCATTAACAGGATTCTTCAATTACAAAAAGAACGTCAATAATTCATCAAATAATGTGGCACACTAAGAAAAAACTGAACGTAGATGTCAACAACCTCAAGTGACTGCTGGTTTCTTTAATTATAATCAGTTTAACACCTCTATACAAAGCACAAAGAGAATGAAATGGGTGATGATCACTATACAATTTTCTGGACAGAAAAGGTGTCAAAATGAGAAATGGGTAACTTTTATATCAGTATGTCATAAAGAACCTAGTACATCACAGACGCATGGTTGTGTTGGACTGAAAGGTGCGGCCTTGCTATAAACCGCAATACTTCCTGCCCAATGCCCTTGTAAGGGTCAGTGCAGATGAAGATGATATACCCATAACAACACCATACATGGGATAACCTTTATGATTTGGGAAAACTGACATGACCAGATTTAAAACAAAAACAAACAAACCTCATGTTAAATATAAGAACATCCCCGGCTCTGAAATCTGTGGTTTTCCACTGGCCACCAAATTTTTGAGTAATTTCAAAAGGGTCTTCTGTGAACCAACCGGTTCCTGTATATGTTGGAATAAAAATAAAACAAAGTTGGTTAAATGAAGAGTTGTATATGTATGTTCCGATATGTTACTAAATAAGAAAAGAAGAATATTAAAACCATAAACTACCATAGAGGTGACAGTAGTGCCGTGGCAAGACATTTGCCTACAAGTTTAGGGTTCAAACCTGCATTGGGCGGCATGACTTTTGAAAAAAAAATTAAGTTTGGTTCCTAGATCAACCAATACTAAAATGGCTACCAGAAAATTTGCTTGGGAAGTAAAGGTGGCTGGTGTGATGTTGACCACATTACCCATCGCTAATAGGTCTATAAAAATATGAGGCTTGCATTATCTTCATCCAAAGAAATAAATGCACTGTACCTGTTTACAACATGGCTGCGCTATTCTGCAGGCATTTGTTGCCCGGACGAGCTGAGTGGTCTCGAGGTATGGTGTCCGCCTTGAGTGCTGGAGGTCCTGAGTTCAAGCCCAGGCGAAGGCTGGGATTTTTTTTATGGGGACTTCTAGTAATTTTCCTTTTTCTCTGTGTAGTAAGACCAGATGCCCATATATATTTTTGCGCACGTAAAAAATGCCTTGGCTGGAAATTGAAAAGAATGGAATAACCGCGCTGCCCAGCAAAATTTTGAGTTAAAAATCTACCCAAAGTACTTCAGGATTCTCACCGGTGGAATAGAGTTCATGCATTGCGCTGAGATTCTTCAGACTTAGGCTTGAGTTAGAAGAATAATGGAGCACTTATGGGCTACACCCGTGTGCCATGGTGTTGATCCATCGAATAAACATTTGTTGCCCAGTTTAGCCTTGCCGGGTCCTGCATTATATGCCCCACATGTCCGATGTGAAAAGGGTATTTCAAGTAAGCTTTTTTCTTTCATTTTAACATACCAAAAATGTCCCAAGAAGTAACTAAGAAGGGTCTGAGTAAGACCGACCACCTCATCCTATAGAAAAGTGTAAAATTTTTAAGATCAAAAACAAGTCTCCCTGTGTTTGTTTCAGGGCCAAATTTTTATGAGTTGGAAAAAGCCCAGGCAACCTAACATAAATTAAGTTTCGACCAACTATTCTAAATGTGTATTATGACTTACTCTATTTCAACAAAGCTTGTGGTAGTATAGTGGGTCTGTAGCAACCAAAGTTGTGGTGATATAGTGGTTAGTGCTGAAACATCCAAATTCTACCATCCATTTATTGTTAGCTCGGCCCTTCTATTGTCAGATCTAATTCATTAATAAATGTCTGCTTCATTCAGTTTCAAAATACTTCATTGCTTACTTTTCCCCCAAACGATTTCCCTTATTAATGGGTATTTAAAAAACCAGAGTTTACCTTCCCAATGAATGTTTCTGTACTCATTTCATCATTATGTGCCTTGTCAGATTGGGATTCATGTGCCTCACCACCCTGTGTGGGTTCAGGGGCCCTATTATAGGGAAAACAAGAATAGACCCACTGCCTACCCAAAAGCATGTCATAAAAGTCAACTAATTGGGATCTTCCTTCAAAGTCAGAATGCATCTGCCTGACAGGCAAGGAATCAACTGTCTGCATACTAAGTAGTCAGATCTGTCAAACGAATGCACATGCAACACTCAGGTTCTGGAACAGGACTGCAGTCCAGAAGTGGACGAACAGCCAGAACTTTCCACCAGAGTTTACAGCCGGTGATTGCGAAGAAGAAGATGTACCTCACCATAGATCTTGATCCATACAGTTATGGATTAATCCTTTTGATGATATTCTTCCCAGCCACCATCTTACACCATCCAGCATCTTCTCTCTGTCTGCTTCTGTTACCATTGATGTTTCCAGTTGTCACTGTTCATTGTTCAGTTCAAGACCATCCTCTTTGCCTGTTAATTCTTGGGTGGGTTCCGGGGCGCTATTATGGGAATTACAAGAATAGACCCACTGATTCCCCAACAAGTATTTGTAGTGGTCGACTAATTGGGGACTTCCTTTGAAGTCAGAGTGTATCTGCTTGAGAGGCAAAGAACCAACCGTCTGCATACAAATAAGCAAGATCTTTAAAATGAATGTGCACACAAGAGTTGGGTTCTGGAACAAGACTAAAATCCAGAGGGTGGATGAACCATCAGAACCTTTCGCTTGAGTTTACAGCCAGTGAATGTGAAGAAGAAGAAAAAATTGCCTGTCGAGCATACCCATAGGTACTCAATTCTTCTCGTAGTTGTCACAATGTTCTTCAAAGCCACTCTTCTCATTATATGACAAAAGAGAATCATGTTCAACTTTCAGTAGACTGTTTTAGGCAATCATCTGTTACTTTGGCTGTCTAATTATTCACAAAATTTATCTCACCACTGCCTCCAAGCTCTTCCTTACACATTCAAAGATCCCCTGTTATTGAAAAACTGTTCAAAACAGCATTTCATTACTTTCTGACAATTGAGGAAAGTGACTTATTACTGAAGATACACTTCATCTTCTAAAATATAGCTTTCACTTGACATGTTCTACTACTAATCTATGTAGTTAAAACAATTTCAAATGAAACTCAATAGCCACCAGACCTTTAAGTCCAGCGTTTTCTGCATCCATTTCTCCATATGTTTCCTGAAAGTGCTTGAAACTGCAATGAAAACAACAACAAAAAAGAAAAATATACAGATTAATATGCAAAACATTTATCATTTTCTATTCATTTGTAAATTTTAAAACTGAATTTTATTGTTAAAAAGTCATTTATTCTACACGTAAAGAAGACAGACAGAGAAAAGCGGTGAATGTGTACATTCAGGATTTTTAAAAAAAAAAAAACAGAATATCACCCAGGCATTCAAGTTCATTCGGGTCACTATTTATGTGCAACAACAAAAAATAACTGGAAAAAAAAGGTCAGGGGACTGAATTGATCAGGTAACTTCAACATCACTGTTTAGACTAATCAAAATATAAAGAAATGACACAAAACCAACCTTGGCAATCTATGAGAGCCTTCGCACATGGCTAAGACTCCTTGCTCTATGGGGACATCACCAATCGGTGTCCACATGGTGTGCAGGTTTGATGAGCCACGACTCATGTAAACATTGTCCACATGAGCACCTGTGAATCCTTCTTGGTGCATGGCTCTGAATGAAAATACAATAGTTACTGATGACAACAAATTCAAGAATCAGTAACAGATGAAGAAACATATTTAAGGATGTCTGGGTTTGATTTCTTGTTTCTTTGCGTTCACCTGCTGTAAATTGCAGTGGAAAGTTCTTGTTGTTCATCCACTTCTTAACTTTGGTCTTGTTCTTTTCTTTTTATTCTTATTCTTCCCATTCGCCAGCTGTAATGAACAGACCGTTCTGGTTGTTCGTCCACTTCTGGAGTTTAGTCTTGCTTCAGAACCTGAGTTTTGCATGCATATCTATTTTACAGATCTGGCTTATGTGTGTGCAGACTGCTGGTTCCTTGCCTCTCAGGCAGATGCACTCCAACTCTGGAGGAAACCCCTAATTAGTCGACTCTTAAAGACATGCTTGTTAGGAAGGCAATGGGTCTATTCTTTTTTTATTTCCTCTCACAATGGGGCCCCAGAACCCATTCGAGGAGGGCTTGGTCTAGAACCTGATTTGTTTGTGTGCACAGCCGTTTCACAGATCTGGCTTACCTTTTTTAAGGTAGTTAGCATCCTTTGGATATCCTCTCCAGGTCATGCTGGTGTGTTGGGAATTGAGCAGGCAGATAGACTGGCTGGTTCTGCACCACTTGGTGGTGAACTGAAGCATGACAAGCTAGATTTTGTGAGGGTCATCTGGGAGCGAGTGAAGAATGCAGTAATGCAAACAGATCATTATCGTCTGAGGGAAATTGCGCTGCGAGGAGATACCAGGGGATCTGGCTGATGCTCAACACTCAAGGGAAAGGTGAGACAGATTTACAATCAGACAGTTACTATTACGGCGCTACGATGTCAATTCTTAATTCAACATATAACATTCAATGCCATCTTTTGATGTTAATCTGTCAAACCATGCAGTATTTTGTTCTTTTGCTGACCTCTGGCCCTCATCCTAAATCTTTCTGGTTGTCAAAATCTTCTCCAGACTACCATCTGGCAAAACAACAAATAAAAATGCTGACTGACTTACCCTGTTATGGGTGATCAAATGTCGTCATCAAAAGGTAAGACATCAAAAATTCAAATTCTTACAGCTGCTCAAACAAACATTTCTTTCATATTCCAACAAACAACAGTGTATAACATACCTCAGCCATTTGTAATCAAATGTTCTGACATCATCATTGAAATATTTTCTGAAGAAATCAAATGCTGAAAAAAAAAAAAATAACAAATTTCCATACGTTCTTAATCTGAATAAAGAAAACACAAAAGGATAAAGTTCACTGAATCGTGTCAAGTTTGTGTGCTGAATCTTAGACTTCCGTGGTGATTGTAGTGGACAGGATTCATGTTTTGTGCTTCATTATATGTTGATGTGTCTCTGTAGTAATACACATGATGAGGAATATTTTGCAGTATATTGCTTATGTCCTCATTTTTTTAAATATTGTCATATTTTCTGTCCAGGAATTTGGGTGTGCTGGGCAATGAGCAGCTGATAGACTGGCTGCTGCCATTCCTCTGGGTGATGAGCTATTTTATACTATTTCCTCTAATCTCGTGTCTTCTGTTGTTCATATACAGACTTCAGAATATCTCCCATGTCCAGCATGAGTGTTTCCACAACTTTCGCTTTCGTAGCCAGAAAATCCACTCATTCATGTCCTCGCACTCCTGCATATCCTGGAAAGTATATCCATGTTATTCCCTACAATGGTGGCAGACTGATGCCTGGTATTCACCTCTGCCTCACTAGTCTCTTTCTAACCCTCAACAGTGCCGACTGAGAATCAGACACAACAATTCCTCTGGTAACTTGTTTTTTCTGCTATAAAATTTAGAGCTGCAGTGATTGCCTCCACTTCCATCATCATGTTTGAAGTTGTAGATAAAAAAAGTTCTCTTTTTTTTCTGCCACAATCTTTCCCTTCATTCTAGCTGAAAATCCCCTGCCAGATCTTACACACCGATGAACAGAACCATCGGTGTACACCACTGCATCATCTAGCCCAGCCTTTTTATCTATCAGTTGTTGTACCTCTAATTCTGCCATACCTCCACACCACTCTCCAAATTCTCTTTCTAATGTAATAATGACTTGATGGAAACTGCTGTTGCGGGTTTTCATGACGACGCATTCCTGCCCCCTGTGTATCTGCTTGACTGAGGCGGCGGTCTCGATGGTATCTTCAGCTAGTGCCATCCATGACTCTCCTCTCCTCAACTGGTCTTCTCTCAAATCTTTCAGATTGCCATGCAGCGGATGCCTTTCATCATTGGTAACTGGCATATAGGCCTTGGCTTGCGCCAGTGACAGTCTAGACTTTACTGATGTCAGCCGAAGCATTTTTATACCTTATTATTCCAATTGGTGTATCTCGTGTGTAAACAAAAACGATTTTCATTCCTTCATTTTGAATCCATTCAAGCTCTGTACACTGTGAAGTAGATAGGGTTAATATTCCTAGGCCATAATCAATTACTGAAAGGACCAAACGGTTGAACAATAAGACCAATAATCTCTGTTCCATGTGTGTCGCCACCATCATCTTTGATCAGTCTGCTCCACATGATCATGGTGGGATAAATAATCAGAACCCATTTGAGGGGTAGAGATACTATGCTGGAAGCATCAAGATTCAGTGTAGGCTAACCATCATAGAATTTCATGGGAAAGATAACCAGTCGGTGATCATCTGCTCCCTAACTACATTATACACATTCTGCTATCATAGCGCCTGGATCAACAATATTAGCTTTCTACAAGACATGGGTATTAAAAAAAAGGTGGACACAGAGGCGCTGACACAAAACAAACATTGAGGAGGCTAAATAACTGAACATTAAATAATATCAATAACAACCTGGACGATGAACAGGCAACATAAAATCCAATACAGAGGTTCTGAGATATAGATACACAGAAGAGTATGTTGTATTTCATGGAAGTGTTGAATTAAGAATCAATATCATAGCACTCGGGACACCCCATAAGCGCTCCGTCCCCATCTTCAGCAGCAAATGAAGAATTCCAATTCTGATGGCACCAGTAACTGTCTGATTGTACATCCATCCCGTCCTTCCCTAGAGTCATAGAAATAAAGGCAATCAAATATAGAGGTTCTGGAAGGAAGAGCTTCAGAAGAGAGGGAGGATTACCAGTATCTACAAAAAACTAAAACCATGGTGATCTCAAGAGAGGAGAAGAAACACCAAATCATGATGGGACAATTTGCATTAGAGCAGGTCAACCAGTTCAAATACCTTAGAGTTGTATTAGACTGAAATGGAGGCATTAAGATTGAGCTGGCTACACGAAAAGCAGCTGCTGGGAGACTCTTCCATGCCATAAACCAAGGGTTTCTTAGGAAAAGAGAAATTGGCAAGTGGACGAAAATGGTTGTTCACCGCTCTACCTATGTACCAGTCCTGATCTACGGGTGTGAATCATGGGCTTTGACAACAGCTCAAAGAAGCCAGCTTCAGGTCTCAGAAATTAGATAACTGAGAAAGGTGGTCCAAGTGACAGCAGGGACAAAGTCCACAATCAGACAATACGTCAAGATCTTGATACCCAGTCCCTACAAACCCGAGTGGATCAGTCACAGTTACGATGGTTTGGACATGTATGCAGAATGAGATAAAATTAACCACCATTGCACACATGGGAGGCTAAGAACCAGGGAACCAGACCTCCAGGGCGACCCAGGGTCCACTGGGAAGACAACATCTGGCAGTCCCTAACTGACAGAGGACTGGAATGGAACAAAGCCAGACAGAAAACTGCTGATAGAGATGTCTGGCGATCTCTCTGGCAAACCTCTACACCCCAAGGTAGAAGGAGAGTGACTAAGTAAGTAAGTAAATACAGGGGTCTAAGATGTAGATATACACACAAAAAATGTTGTATTTCATGGAAATGAAGGCAATCAAATACCGAGGTTCTGAAGAGATGGGGAATGAAAAGAGAGTTGCTGAAGAAATAAAAGCAGAGACTACTTAAACATTTCAACCATATTAAAAGACATTCTTATACAAATCATACTGGAGGTGAAGGTTGAAGACAAGTGAGTGAAGGGTAGACAGCGATACATTTGGGAATACAACATCAAGACAGCAGTCTGATAGAATGTACATCCATGCAAAAGACAGAGCATGGTGGAGATCCACTGCAGACATTATGGAGATGGCCCCTGATTGACTGCCTGATTAACAGATTGAGTTTCCACTTGCTGGCATCACAAATTTCAGAAACTGATACTAACCAACTATGCTAGTTTAATTCTCACCATCTTCCCGCGTGGGTTCCTGGGTTTCATTTTGGAGAACAAAGAACTGACCCACTGCCCCCCAGCATGTTGTAGGATGCCACTAATCAGGGGTGTTTCCTTCAAAGAGTGCATTTTCCAGAGAGGCAAGGAACCAACAGTCTGCATACAGATAAGCCAGACTTGTAAAATGGTTGTGCATGCAAAACTTAAGTTCTGGATCAAGACCAAAGTCCAGGAGTCTATGAACAACCCGAACTTTCCACCAAAATAGAGCAGATGAACGGTGAGAAGAAGACGAAGATTCTCATCTTTCATATAGAGGGGATCTGAACACTTATGGACTGAATGACTCAATGCACAGTGAGAAATAATCTCTTGACTAACTTCTATACCAAAGCTCAGTTAACAACTAACTTCTATATGAAAGCTCAGTTAACAACTAACTTCTGTATGAAAGCTCAGTTAACAAAAACAGTAAGACATGAACTTACGTCTATGTCCCTCGATTACAGCAAGGACTGTGTTTTTATGTGAAATCTCATTACGTCCCTGTAAAGAATGCAACAGTGTGTTTTCCCAAACATGGGGATTCTTCTTTCCCAAACATGGGGATTCTTCTTTCCCAAACATGGGGATTCTTCTTCTTTCCCAAACATGGGGATTCTTCTTTCCCAAACATGGGGATTCTTCTTCCCAAACATGGGGATTCTTCTTTCCCAAACATGGGGATTCTTCTTTCCCAAACATGGGGATTCTTCTTTCCCAACAAACATGGGGATTCTTCTTTCCATGGGGATTCATCTTTTCCCAAACATGGGGGGATGGGGATTCTTCTTTCAAACATGGGGATTCTTCTTCCCAAACATGGGGATTCTTCTTTCCCAAACATGGGGATTCTTCTTTCCAAATATGAGGATTCTTCTTTCCCAAACATGGGGATTCTTCTTTCCCAAACATGGGGATTCTTCTTTCCCAAATATGGGGATTCTTCTTTCCCAAACATGGGAATTTTTCTTTACCCAGCATGGGGATTCTTCTTTCCCAAACATGGGGATTCTTCTTTCCCAAACATGGGGATTCTTCTCTCCCAAACATGGGGATTCTTCTTTCCCAAACATGGGGATTCTTCTTTCCCAAACATGGGGATTCTTCTTTCCCAAACATGGGGATTCTTCTTTCCCAAACATGGGGATTCTTCTTTCCCAAACATGGGGATTCTTCTTCCCAAACATGGGGATTCTTCTTTCCCAACATGGGAGTCTTCTTCCCAAACATGGGGATTCTTCTTTCCCAAACATGGGGATTCTTCTTTCCCAAACATGGGGATTCTTCTTTCCCAAACATGGGGATTCTTCTTTCCCAAACATGGGGATTCTTCTTTCCCAAACATGGGGATTCTTCTTTCCCAAACATGGGGATTCTTCTTTCCCAAACATGGGGATTCTTTCTTTCCCAAACATGGGGATTCTTCTTTCCCCAACATGGGGATTCTTCTTTCCCAAACATGGGGAACATGGGGATTCTTCTTTACCCCAAACATGGGGATTCTTCTTTTCCCAAACATGGGGATTCTTCTTTCCCAACATGGGGATTCTTCTTTCCCAAACATGGGGATTCTTCTTTTCCCAAACATGGGGATTCTTCTTTCCCAAATGGGGATTCTTCTTTCCCAAACATGGGGATTCTTCCCAAACATGGGGATTCTCTTTCCCAAACATGGGGATTCTTCTTTCCCAAACATGGGGATTCTTCTTTCCCAAACATGGGGATTCTTCTTTCCAAAAACATGGGGATTCTTCTTTCCCAAACATGGGGATTCTTCTTTCCCAAACATGGGGATTCTTCTTTCCCAAACATGGGGATTCTTCTTTCATGGGGATTCTTTCCCCCAAACATGGGGATTCTTCTTTCCCAAAACATGGGGATTTCCCAAAACATGGGGATTCTTTTCCCACAATTCATCCCAAACATGGGGATTCTTCTTTCCCAAACATGGGGATTCTTCTTTCCCAAACATGGGGATTCTTCTTTCCCAAACATGGGGGGATTCTTCTTTCCCAAACATGGGGATTCTTCTTTCCCAAACATGGGGATTCTTCTTTCTTTCCCAAACATGGGGATTCTTCTTCTTTCAAACATGGGGATTCTTCTTTCCCAAACATGGGGATTCTTCTTTCCCAAACATGGGGATTCTTCTTTCCCAAACATGGGGATTCTTCTTTACCCAACATGGGGATTCTTCTTTACCCAACATGGGGATTCTTCTTTCCCAAACATGGGGATTCTTCTTTCCCAAACATGGGGATTCTTCTTTCCCAAACATGGGGATTCTTCTTTCCCAAACATGGGGATTCTTCTTTCCCAAACATGGGGATTCTTCTTTCCCAAACATGGGGATTCTTCTTTCCCAAACATGGGGATTCTTCTTTCCCCAACATGGGGATTCTTCTTTCCCAAACATGGGGATTCTTCTTTCCCCAACATGGGGATTCTTCTTTCCCAAACATGGGGATTCTTCTTTCCCAAACATGGGGATTCTTCTTTCCCAAACATGGGGATTCTTCTTTCCCAAACATGGGGATTCTTCTTTACCCAACATGGGGATTCTTCTTTCCCAAACATGGGGATTCTTCTTTCCCAAACATGGGGATTCTTCTTTCCCAAACATGGGGATTCTTCTTTCCCAAACATGGGGATTCTTCTTTCCCAAACATGGGGATTCTTCTTTACCCAACATGGATTCTTCTTTCCCAAACATGGGGATTCTTCTTTCCCAAACATGGGGATTCTTCTTTCCCCAACATGGGGATTCTTCTTTCCCAAACATGGGGATTCTTCTTTCCCAAACATGGGGATTCTTCTTTCCCAAACATGGGGATTCTTCTTTCCCAAACATGGGGATTCTTCTTTCCCAAACATGGGGATTCTTCTTTTCCCAAACATGGGGATTCCCAAACATGGGGATTTTTCTTTCCCAAACATGGGGATTCTTCTTTCCCCAACATGGGGATTCTTCTTTACCCAACATAGAGATTCTTCTTTCCCAAACATGGGGATTCTTCTTTCCCCAACATGGGGATTCTTCTTTACCGAATATGGGGATTCTTCTTTCCCAAACATGGGGATTCTTCTTTACCCAACATGGGGATTCTTCTTTCCCCAACATGGGGATTCTTCTTTCCCAAACATGGGGATTCTTCTTTCCCTAACATGGAGATTCTTCTTTCCCAAACATGGGGATTCTTCTTTCCCAAACATGGGGATTCTTTTTTCCCAAACATGGGGATTCTTCTTTCCCAAACATGGGGATTCTTCTTTCCCAAACATGGGGATTCTTCTTTCCCAAACATGGGTATTCTTCTTTCCCAAACATGGGGCTTCTTCTTTCCCAAATATGGGGATTCTTTTTTCCCAAACGTGGGGATTTTTCTTTCTCTACCATGGGGATTCTTCTTTCCCCAACATAGAGATTCTTCTTTCCCAAACATGGGGATTCTTCTTTCCCAAACATGGGGATTCTTCTTTCCCAAATATGGGGATTCTTTTTTCCCAAACATGGGGATTTTTCTTTCCCGACCATGAGGATTCTTTTTTCCTAAACATGGAGATTCTTCTTTCCCCAACATGGAGATTCTTCTTTCCCAAACATGGGGATTCTTCTTTCCCAAACATGGAGATTCTTCTTTCCCAAACATGGGGATTTTTTTTTCCCAAACATGGGGATTCTTCTTTCCCATAAATGGGGATTCTTCTTTCCCCAACATGGAGATTCTTCTTTCCCCAACATGGAGATTCTTCTTTCCCCAACATGGAGATTCTTCTTTCCCTAACATGGGGATTCGTCTTTCTCAAACATGGAGATTCTTCTTTCCCAAACATGGAAATTCTTCTTTCTCAAACATGGAGATTCTTCTTTCCCCAACATGGAAATTCTTCTTTCTCAAACATGGAGATTCTTCTTTCCCCAACATGGAAATTCGTCTTTCTCAAACATGGGGATTCTTCTTTCCCCAACATGGAAATTCGTCTTTCTCAAACATGGGGATTCTTCTTTCTCAAACATGGAGATTCTTCTTTCCCCAACATGGAGATTCTTCTTTCCCAAACATGGGGATTCTTCTTTCCCAAACATGGGGATTCTTCTTTCCCAAACATGGGGATTCTTCTTTCCCAAACATGGGGATTCTTCTTTCCCCAACATGGAAATTCGTCTTTCTCAAACATGGGGATTCTTCTTTCCCAAACATGGGGATTCTTCTTTCCCAAACATGGGGATTCTTCTTTCCCCAACATGGAAATTCGTCTTTCTCAAACATGGGGATTCTTCTTTCCCCAACATGGGGATTCTTCTTTACCCAAACATGGGGATTCTTCTTTCCCAAACATGGGGATTCTTCTTTCCCCAACATGGAAATTCTTCTTTCCCAAACATGGAGATTCTTCTTTCCCCAACATGGAGATTCTTCTTTCCCCAACATGGGGATTCTTCTTTCCCAAACATGGAAATTCTTCTTTCCCAAACATGGGGATTCTTTTTTCCCAAACATGGGGATTCTTCCCCACGATATTCACTTCTGCATCTAACTCTATTTTCCAAGATTTTCAATTAATCAGCCAGGTGCCATGTACACAATGAAGGCAGACTGCAATGGATCTCGAACATGCTCTGTCTCTTGTCTTGGCTTTACACTCTCTCAGACTACTGTCCGTCCATCTCTTGATGTTGTCCCACTTGTAAGAGTGTCTACATCTTGCTTTCTTGCCCTTGACTTTTCCCTCTTGTATGGTTTTTACAAATGGTTTGTCTTTTAATGTGGCTAAAGTATTTCAGTTGTCTTTTTTTTTTTTTAGTAGTTCTTTTTTCATCTGTAGTCTTTCCAGAACCTCTGTATCGGGCTGTTTTTGTTTATATATGTGATTTTTTAGTTGCCTGGTCACCCTCAACATTGCAGCACCATATAGCAGGGTTGAGTATACATAACATTAGATGATTCTTGTTTTTTTAAGTGTTGTTTATCTTTCTAGCTGTTTTTAGGCCTTCTTTATTCTTTCATTCTTTGAGTTCCAGTAAAAACAACTAAAAGTTATTTTTTAAATTATTTTATTATGACAAAACCTTGTTAACATAAACTCACTTAATATCAACACTCGGTTAACATGGAATAAACTTTCGGACCCAGCAGGGATGTATTATACATATATTAGTCCACAGTCAGCCCTATTTTTTTTTTACAGGAATTTCTGATTATTCAGACCTCTGGAATTTGTGTTAATGAGGTTTTACTGTATCAGGTTTCTTTCATGTGTATCATTCTGGACCATCAACCTTCCCTGACTTCTAGTACTGACATGTATTAAGCTCTCTTTAAGCTCTCACTAAGCTCACAATTGTATTTCTCTATTCAGCACAGGTACTACTTAATGACCGCTCATATTTATATAGTAATTGTCTTCTTAATAATTATAACATTCTTACTTCCATCACTGGAAGACAGCCCAAACCACACCCCTCTCTCAGGACCCCTTCTTTTATTGGATGGTTTTTATCCAGCTTGTCACCTAGGCTGTTTATGTATTCAAGAACAGCTTCCTTGGCTGCTAGAACCTCCTCTCTACTGTGAAAACCTCGAATTAGCAGGTACCTAAAAAAAATTGTTCAAAGAAAGAAAGAAACATTTAATTGGTCATCCTACATTGTGTATAAGCATTGTTCTTTAAATAATACAACAAATAATATGGCTTGTTGTCGAACCAAAAATATGCAAAACCCCAAACGGATTTAGATCAAACTTGGGTTACACTGATTCCCTATTCAATGTACAAAAACTAAACAACAATTTCTGAATATGATGAACAACTCAACATTCTTTTTCTTCATTTCCTCTTTTACCATTTCGGATGTTAAAGGAGATAAAAGGTTCAAGTCCTTGCTCTTCCATAAACACAGCATGCTGTTGCAGAATTTAACACAACATTCTGTTCATAAATCAGGAGAAAGCTTAGCACTACAGAGTTAATAGAACAAGCTGCATTTTCCTTTAAATAAATTAATATGGCCTACCACAGGGGTGCAAGACACCCGCATGGATTTAAGAAAAACATAGGTTGTGCTGATGCCCTATTTACCTTTTACAAAAACTAAGCAAATGGTTACTGAGTATGATGAACAACTCTACATTGCCTTTATAAATCAGACAAACACCTTTTGTTTTTTTAAGTATTCAGAAACCATGAGTTGTAAACCCTTCGGCTCGGTACTATGGATATCGCAACAATTCGGCCTTAATTCCATGATAGATACTGTAAATCTGGTAGAAATGTGGCTTTTCTGCCTACCTCCAGGCGAGAACCCCGACCACAAGGAGTTCATCACCCGGTCGCCACAAAGTCAGGTTAAACCAACTACACTAGTGAGCCGGGCAACTCTTATGGTTTTATAAGTGTCATAGTCACAAGAATTTTTTTTTCTGGCAGTACCACCACCTCTTTTCTTAGATATTATTCCCAACACGACAGGCATAGACTCTGTGTGATGAGTACTAATATTTTTTTAGACATTTTACAAAGAGAACGGCACCTTTTTTCCTTGGAAAAAAGCCTACATATTTATAAAGTTTAATAATTGATTACTAAACAGAAATATCCACAACAACAAAACAAAAAAGGGTTAGGTTCACACACATCTCCCCAAATAAAGTTTATTTGGGCTGTTCGACTTTCCTGAAGATTACGGTTGTGTCCCGCTCTGTTGTTTGCTTTCTGTGATGTCTTGCACTTGAGTTTTCATTCTAAGAAAGAGAATGCCTGTGACAGGTTGCAGCACTCTCTAGGGGGCTTGAGTTAGGACCAGTTTCTCCATGTTTTTGGAGTGTTAAAAGCACTGGCGTGCTGAAATATACAACACGCGATAAAACAGCATTGCGGAACACCCCCGTAACCTTGTGCCGAGGTGAAAGGTTCAGGAACTACCAATCAAAAGTGAGTTAGTGTATATGAGCGGGGCGTGTGGATACTAACGTTACTTTTACCCAAAAAGACATGAATCACGTCTTATTTAATAATATTTTATATCAAGTTTACATACATTCATAATCATAGACGTACTAACCCCTTCTCTTCCATCTCTCGATGTAAAGCATCGAAATCCCCTAACAAATGGTTACAATCTTCCATTTGCTGAAGTTCGTCAGACGGAAACTTGACACTTCTATAACCAAACTTGATAATCCTTTCTTCACCGCTGGTTGAGGCCATTGTTCCTTGTCAAACTACTCCGGCTAGCAGACGAAATCTAATTCAATAACCTCACTACTATTACTTTGAATCCAGAAAGGCAACATATACTACTCATGATAGACTTGTCGCTTTTGGAAATGTATCAAATCCGGTTTTGTAAGATATAATCTTGCGATCACGTAGACAAAATAAGATAAGAGCAAAGATCACTGTCCTTGACTTGTGTGTAAGGTAAATAAGTTCGCATGATAAATATATCTACCGATAGTCCGACCGGGACACACTGATACTAAGATGTGTGTCAATCGTGTTTACATCTGATGCCTGGCCCAAAGCTGCTAGCTCATTTTCAGCTAAAACTGCCAAAGGGAACTGGCTAAAGCAGTGGCTCTCAACCTTCCTACTGCGGCGACCCTTTAATAAGTTTCTCCTGTGTGTTCAGGGGTTACCAAGGGGATCTGGCCGACGCTCAACGCGCAGGGGAAAGGCGAGAAGGATATACAATCAGACGGTTAATAGTGCCATCGGAATTGGAACTCTTCGTATACTGCTGAAGATGGGGATGGAGTACTTATGTGAGTGTCCTGGTGACCCCCAACCATATAATTATTTTCGTTGCTAATTCACAACTTCAGTGACAATTTTTTTTCTTATGGTCTTAGGCGACCTCTGTAAAAGGTCGTTCGCAGCTAACTCTGTTTTTTTTTCCAGAAACCATGAGTTGTTAAACCCTTTGGCTCGGTACTATGGATTTCGCAACCCTTTGGCCTTGATTCCATGATAGATACCGTAAATTTGGGAGAAATGTGGCTTTTCTGTCAACCCCTGGGCGCGAACCCTGACCACAAGTAGTTCGTCACCCGGTCGCCGCGAGGTCAGGTTAAACCAACTACGCTAGCGAGCCAGGCAACTCTTATGATTAAAGACAACTTTATTTGTAAAATAAACGGATGGAATGTGCTTAAAAGATGGGTAATTACACTTTACTGGCTTGATTTCTACGGGTGCCCTAATTATAACTTGGAGGTTGAACAGGCTGTCTTGTCTAGCCCTATTGGTCTGCCATCAGTACCGATTTTTCAGCCTCACAGTGTCGAACCTTCAGATCCTAGTGGTCTGCGATCAGTACAAATTCTTTAGCCTCACAGTGTCGAACCTACAGATTCTGGTGGTCTGCCATCAGTACAGATTCTTAAGCCTCACAGTGACGAACCTTCCTATCCTATTGGTTTGCCAGAAGTACAGATTCTTCAGCCTTGAAGTGTCGAACCTTCAGATTCTGGTGGTTTGACGTCTGTACAGATTCTTCAGCCTTACAGTGTCGAACCTTCAGGTCCTGGTGGGAGGGGGTGAATAGTACGGAGGCACACTTAGATTATCATGGTTTGAAAAGAACAGTACAAAGGGGGAATGACTAGTAGATCTGGCCGACACGACACACTAACAGGAAACCCCAGATGCACTCACAGTCAGGCTGTTACTGATACTATCCGAGTTGGAACTCTTCACAGACTTCTGGAGATGGGGACGGAGAGCTTATGAGAATAACCCGAGTGCCATGATGTCAATTCTTAAAACTCATCTTAACTTAGGTCCTGGTTGTCTGCCATCCTATGCCATCCTCAAGACCACACAGTCCCCTTGTCATACAGTGTGAGATCGTAATCCTCTTATTTCAGTGTGTCAAACCTTTCAGGTAGCATGCACGCAGTTATCAACTGTCCTTACCTGCAAAGGTTTTCAGGTTACACCAGGCTGGTGTCGCCGTTACGGGTGCCGTAATGATAGCTTCTTTGGAGGTTGAACAGTTATCCGGATTTTGCCCTGTTTGTCTGCAGTCCGGATTGTGGTTTTTCAATATTAGGATGCTAAACCTTCAAGTGGCCACCTAGAGTAAGAAAACGACACATCTAGGCAAGCAGTTGTCAGTTGTTTGGCAACAGCGAAACAATAAAACAAAACAGAAACATAGAATGAGCCATGACCGGCTTCAGTTCAGCTACAGACGGTCGTGAATGAGCCGTGACGGCTGCAAAGGCTTATGAAGAGACAGTCTTCTGTCTTAGTCAGAAAAAAATATGTTTATCTCTCCGTCTCTTTTTCTCTATCTTCTTCTTCTTCATGTTTACCAGCAGTAAACTCTGGCGGAAAGTTCTGGTTGTTCATCCACTTTAGGACTGCAGTCCTGTTCCAGAACGTGAGTCTTGGGTGTGCATCCGTTTTACTGATCTGACTAATTTGTATGCAGACTGATGGTTCCTTGCCTCTCAAGCATATGCACTCCGACTTTAAAGGAAGCTTCCAATTAGTCGACTCTCACGACATGCTTTTGGGTAGGCAGTGGGTCTATTCTTGTTTTCCCTATAATAGGGCCCTGGAACCCAAGCGGGGATTTTTCTCTATCCACCCTTGTCTCTTCTCCCTCCCTTTCTGTCATATTTTCACTGTATCTTTCTCTATGTCTTTCTCAGTCTTCCCATATTTCTATAACTGTCTCTCTCTCTTTCTCTCTCTCTCT